TACCCCCCCCCCCCCCCCACTTCAATTTTCAACTATGAGCATGTTTGGTAAGGATTAAAAGCCAATTAAAATCAATTTTTTTATCGTTATTTTACTATTTCAACCTTCATTTTTGAATTCTTCTCTTATAGGTAGAACCCACTTTATTTTTAACGGTCAAAAAATCAATTAACAAAATCCATACCAAACAAGTACTATGTGAAAATTGATCAAGAGCGATTTTCTTTTCTTATAAAGCAAGAAAATCATTACATTCCAAGAAAATCAAGAGCAATTTTCTTATCTTTAGTGAAACTCTATTGGAAGTTATCCTGTAAAAAGAATAAAAACTTTATCATTTATTGTAGAATCAGTATCCACCTCTAGTTTCTGTGGCTGATCTTACTAACCAATCTTGTTTTACATATTAGTAGTGACAAGTTTTTATAATATTGATAGGAATCATTCAGTTCAAAGAGAAGTGAGAAACGCGAGTTCAAATTTGATAGGCGAGTATTAGACAAGAATGCATAATAAGACTTGTAATTTTTCTCTCTTAATACTCTCCAATACTATACATACCAAGCTTGCCACGAGCATATACATATAGTCCTTGTTTGATCCTCATTCTTTGGAGAAAATAAATTCTTCTACAGTGTTTTGACATAATTTCAACCACATATTCTTCAATAAAATAATATTACACGTAAATTCAAAACTTTTCTTTATTTTTTAACCACACATTTCATATCAATACACTATTCAAAAATTCATTTTTCCCCTTAAAATAGGGCTCAAACAAGGGCATACAACTCCCCGGGAGCACTACTTGGGTGTTGGGCCTGGATTATTAAGCTACAAAATTATGCACTAGAAAAGGGTCATTAACCCCTTATTTGCCCCCTATTTTCTAAAACTCATTTTTCTCAAACTCATTTTATTTACAACTATGCATTCATGAAATCCACATTTTTTATCAACTTTTAAATTGCGCATTTCATCAACATTTATCAGAATTTACTAAAGATCTGATTTCTATATAAATCAAACAAGGGCTAAAAGAGAACAGAAGAACCCATCCTTACTTAAATTAAAATTATACACCAATTTAAATTGACCTTATGACCATGAACGTAGGAATACAATGCCATGTCAACTTGTAAGACATATAAGAAATAAACCAAAGAATGAACAAATCGCCACCACCTAAATGTGCTCATCAGCATATTTGCATCTCAGAATCCTCTCAACTCGAACTCAATGAATTAATCAACTGTGATGGGTTTCCTCAGGCGCAACTTTGCAGTTTTGCTGGGTTTCCTCAGGCCCTGCTTTGAAGTTTTTGCTGGATTTCTACAAGGTCTTTGCGATTTTGATGGGTTCCCTCAGATTCTTTGGTATTGTGGTGAAACTTCACAACAATGCATGTAATATTGTCAGCACTACCACGAGTGAAAGCAGTTTCTGTTAACTTTCGAGCTGCTGCTTCAGGATCTTCTTCTGTTTGCGCTAATGAGATGACGTCCTGATGATAATGGGTACAAATATATCAGCAATAATGCTAAAGATCTGGTTCTTTTTTGACATGTTTTTTGTATCCAAGAAAAATGGAATTTGAGGAGAATGCCAAACAAACCAATACGTAATAATAAAAACCAATTGTAAACTAGCAAGACTATGAAATACACTCAAAGATTTCAACATATGATCAACGGATTACCTCATTGGGTACTACATCCCAAAGTCCATCACTTGCAAGCACAAGCAATTCAAGATCCTGGTCAACTTCTTGATCCTGTAAAATAAAAAGAAGATATATATATGTATGTATCTATATATGTATGTAGGTATGTATATGTATGTATATCCATATATATATAAATATATATATATATATATATATATACACATATATATATACATACATATATGAATGAATAGCATACTACTTGTGTCATTCGTTTGCCAACAAAGAAGAATTCATAACCAAATCAAATCGAGCGGTTCTGTTTGGTTCTACAAAAAAAAATTAATGGATCTGATTCTTAGAACTAAGAATCATTGGTTCTAATTCTGATTCAATTCTAGTTCTAAAACCAAGAACCAACTCAATATTTATAGTGCATATATATATAGACACACACACACACTAGTGAATCACAATTCACACCAAAAAAATTCAAAATTCAATTGAAAATCAAGACAAAAAGATCATATACTTTTGGTTTCTCATTTATCAATGTGAAGACTAGAGACCCTAATTTATTTTGAAGACCCAGACCTAATTCATTTATCATTCTCTCCTTTTAAATGTATACCTTGACTCTCACATGGAAACCAACAACTATTGCCTGTTATCTACCATCACACTCAGTCACCACCGTAACAAGGATTTTTCAAATGGAAGCCTCAACCTTCGATTCTTCCTCAAATTTTTTCTCTTTTTTTCTCAATTGGTTATGAAATTAGAACCAAATCAAACTTGAATCAAAAGGTTCGATTCCGATTTGGATCCGTATCTTAAAAAAATAAAAAATAAAAACCATTTGGTTCCATTATCAAAAACACTATTGGTTTATGGTTCAATTCGGTTATCATGGAACCAAAACCACATTAAACCATGTCCACCACTAAAAAAGTAGATTACACCAAAAGACTGGCCAAGACAAGGTTCTAAAATTTGGTTTCGGCCGATCCATACCAATAATTTTGAGGAAGTAGAATAAAGTAACGAAATTAATAAACCCAAAAGTTTTAGTGGCTACCTGAATCTCAGGTTCAGCAATGACAAATTGCTTTAGCAAGCGATTGCCAAAAGCACGGGACATGGCCAAGACTCCACCAACCCTCCAAGTGCCTGATGGATAGTAACAAGTCTAGAAGTAAATTAGCAACTTTTAAGTATCTACTACTTTTCTGGAGATCATTTTGATAATTGCCAGACTTAACATACCTGCCCACATAACAACACCTCCAGCACTTTCAATTCTCTTTCGCTCATCAATTCTATTTGGTTTGTGATCTTCTGAGAGGGGAATTGCTGTCAAGCACAACAAAGGAGTTGTTATCAGAAATTATAGTCAGAAGTACTTTAAACGTCAAAGTTTCTCTTATGTATCATAAACCATGAAACAGACGTAGACAGCAGCAGCACAATCAGAAAGATTGTCCAAGGCCTCCAGATACAATACATCAATTGGTTTTAAAAGATTTAGTGTATTGGTTAAATGTTTCATTACCTTGATGCTAACTCTATTAGTTAATTTCCTTGTCAGCCTGCTTTGAAAGAGGTACAACCCTTATAAATATTTTAGACCACCAGGTACAATTAATTAGTAAATAGTGATTGCTGTCATTTAATTTCGATCTTAACTTTATTACAGACTGGAAACACGATACTGACATGAAGGAATTTTATAAATCCCAAAAAACAGTTGAAATATTTAAACAACAAAACAATGTGATGGCAGTCACCCACAGATCATTTTCTTCATATCATTCAGTTCCTGTTACATATCGAAGTCTAGTTGGCATTGAAGTTGCATATATCAAGCTCTATGAAGTAATCTCAGGGGATACAACAGAAAGAACAAACATTTATTACATGTGGAACAAACATTTATTACATGCACTTCAGCGCCTCGGCTGCTATTCTGAACATTGTAAAGAAAAAGATAAAATCATTTTCATCAAATACATTTGGGGAGGGGAAATGAACATGCGCTTCCATTATGTAAAAAACATTGGACTAAAATTTAATCACTTTATTCAACAATGCTCAGCTGGGCCAGATAATCGATATTGGACAGTTCATGTAACACATCTTACTGCAATCCACTGATGCTAAAAGTGCTGCATGTTGCATAAGGGCAACACACAATTAGAAGTACCTTTCCCGGCCTTTGATACTATAGTTCGAGAATCTCCCACATTAGCAACAAATAGGTGATTTCCAACTAGAATGGCTGTTGAAGCTGTTGAACCATCATCCCTAAAAGTATCTTTTGCCACTTCCAAAAAGTCTTTGTCGGTTTGTTGAAATGTTTCACCTGTGGTTTTATAAATGTTTAGGTATATCTGTTATATGGAAAAGAGGGAACGAAGAGCCCGTTCACCATTAATAATTCATCGTTCAAAGGCTTTGAAGTGCTTAAACATGCAAAGCAAGGTAAAATATTTTTATTGAAGGACAGCAAAAGCTATGCTGGAGGCCAGGTTACTGCTATTTGTTCTATCCAGTTAAATAAAATACCAACTATGACAGCTACAAATGTTATCCTTTCAGAGCAAACAAAAATATCATGTGCCTTATGGGCCCACAACTCCAAATATTTTTTCAACTATAATCATTATAACGAGAAACATGTGGAGGAAAAAACCAATTTCTGTAATCAAAACCAGCTAACGTTTTCACGTCTCTCCAATTCTCCTTTCATAACTTGCACCTTCTGTTATCCCTAATATATTCACATGTGGGACAAACTATCCTTCACTAGCACTAATGTGAATGGCAAAGCTATTATCAATGTCCTGCATAAGAGACAAGCTAACACTGCTCCATTAACTTTCTATGTAAACTGTTCCAAGCACCACAACTGCAGACGAGGTATCACCCAACATGGTAGGAATGGATTGGTGCCCTAGGGAAATCTAATAAATAAAAAGAGGTACATATGAGACCTGTTCAGGGCACAGAAAGTGCATCCTTAAACACCCAAAAACTAAAGAAGTAAAAACTCTTATTCTAAAAACCTCACACAAGTCCTCAGTTGCATATTCCAAAGCGGTCCCTATTAGAAGTAGAGTGTGACGAATGCCAAGAACTATCCTCCCATTTCCATCCCAAATTATTAGCAGAAAGGAGTGAACATAAAAGGGAATCAGGTATCGAACTTACTTATAGCCAATTTTGTGTTCGTAATAAATTCTGGATGTTTCATGAGATTCTCAAAGAGATGTTCCTTCAAAAACTCAGCTGCTCGAGAACCACCGTGACCTGCCATGACGAATAATCTTCATTAGAAAAGGAAATAGGCGCCTGAAAGAGCATTAACTTAAAAAATATAAATTTGATCCAATAGCACACTTGGAAATAAAAAATTACTAGGCTCTAGATAGCTTTAGTAGTTATTTGATAATATTTCCAGGTGTTACAATTTGGCAGCTGCCAGGTGAGAGCTAAGAATTGCTAATACTATGTTTATTCAAGTTCAACTCCACATATTTTGCTTTCTAACTTCACATGAGCATCATTAATCATTACTATTTACTCAACTGAGACAGACCGTTAAACGCTCAAGCCATTTAGAAACTGATATCTTGTAGATTTAGTTTTAGTCTGTATTAGTAACTCCAACCAACTAGTATATACAAGGTTAGAAATGGCAACCAGTTCATTCCAGGCATCAATTGAAAGAGGACTTTGATTACTGTAATTTTAACCAGGCAATCTTTGGACATTGGGAGGTGGTTCCTGTTTGTTCTTTTACATTTTTTGAAATGCCTGCTTGAACTCATTATGTTAATCAACTTGAAAGGTTGAAAACTAGTTGGCGTCATCTATTTTTAAGAGCTGGTCTGAGCTCCAGTTTGAATAGTGCTTGTGTCCAAAATTATGTTAGTATTTTCATTCAAAAATTTTACTCGAAGATGAGAAATTGTACCAGCTCAAGCTAGATCCTTTGTTAATGAACAAAACCTACAAAGATTTTGACCTATATACACCTTGTTCCTGAACAAGGTAATGCTCGAAAGCTCTATTCATTTACTTACCAAATGAACTTGAATGAACAGGACAGAAACTGAAATGAATTATTTATGGCTCATTCACAGTCCGAGTCTCTCCAGAGTAAACAATTGGATCAAAATTGAAAGCATTACTGAGGTTAATCTTACAACTGTGGCCAGCTTTCATCCATATACATACTAAATTGTTTTACAAGGACTTCTATATAACTAGTTTATACTTGAATTAGGCCATTCATGTCAAGCACTACCCCTCTAGCAGAGTTATATTTATTTAGCCCTCAAAGTTTTGAGATGAAACAGTGATAGGACAAGATCTAACCATCAAATATCCCAAAAAGACAGACTGTTTGTCCATCAATCTTGGTAGTTTTATTGTCATAAAAATCCTCCATGCTAGCCCTTTTTCCTCTGAAGCTGAAATATCCACAGCTCAATCTTCCATCTTCACTGCCAATAAGAAAGAGAGTGGAAATAAGTATAACTTCAACCGAAAATAACGTCATAAAAATAAACATATAAAAAAAATGAAGAAGAAAAGAAAAGAAAACAACAGTTTATTGGCATCATATAGACTTCCAATCAACAGTATATGAATACTGTATATTGCACATTTCTCCAACGATGGCATAAGGGGTAAGTTATTCTGGAAGAAACATTATGTCTCATAATTATTCAGCTTAGAGCACACCCAGAGAGGAGAAGAATTAAAAGATTGGTTATGATATAATATTTTCCTGATAAAACATTCACTCCCCCATCTTACTAATTGCAAATGTTCAATCCTTTCCTTTCCTCCACGGGTTAACAAAAGCCACTACTCAAAGTAACAACTTGTCATACAACGAGATGATAAATGCAAAGGTTAGAAATAGAACTTTCTTGGATGGAAACTCCTGCAAATGGAAATACAACCTAATCTAGGAAAACATGAAATAAAGACATGACAAAAGCAATAGACACCGAGCAGAAGCTGCTCATTTCTGTGCACTGATGTCTACTGAAGCAAACTGGGATGTGGCATGGGCAATAGTCCCACAAGCTCTAGCCCTACTTTGCCAATGTTCCACGGCA